GGTCATTGACCAGGTCCTGCCGTGTAGTTCTGGGCTGATCCCTCACCTTCCTCATGATCATTGATGCCCCACAAGGTGAGATCTTGCATGGAGCCCCAGACCGAGGATGATTGACCATCATCTTGAACTTCTTCCATTTTCTAATAATTGCGCCAACAGTTGTTGCCTTCTCACCAAGCTGCTTGCCTATTGTCCTGTAGCCCATCCCAGCCTTGTGCAGGTCTACAATTTTATCCCTGATGTCCTTACACAGCTCTCTGGTCTTGGCCATTGTGGAGAGGTTGGAGTCTGTTTGATTGAGTGTGTGGACAGGTGTCTTTTATACAGGTAACGAGTTCAAACAGGTGCAGTTAATATAGGTAATGAGTGGAGAACAGGAGGGCTTCTTAAAGAAAAACTAACAGGTCTGTGAGAGCCGGAATTCTTACTGGTTGGTAGGTGATCAAATACTTATGTCATGCAATAAAATGCAAATTAATTACTTAAAAATCATACAATGTGATTTTCTGGATTTTTGTTTTAGATTCCGTCTCTCACAGTTGAAGTGTACCTATGATAAAAATTACAGACCTCTACATGCTTTGTAAGTAGGAAAACCTGCAAAATCGGCAGTGTATCAAATACTTGTTCTCCCCACTGTACATGTTGTGTCAGGGTGTGTATATTATTTGTTATGTAGTATTTTCTATGTGGGATCTAGTATGTTTAGTTCTATGTTGGCCGGTGTGGTTCCCAATCAGAGGCAGCTGTCGCTCGTTGTCTCTGATTGGGAACCATACTTAGGCAGCCTATTGGCACTATTGAGTTGTGGGATCTTGTTCCGTGTAAGGTATGTTGTGTGTATCTACCTTAGGACTTCACGTTTCATTTCGTTTATTGTTTTGTTGTGTGTTTATTTAGTTGAATAAACATGTACGTATGTCACGCTGCGCCTTGGTCTGTCCCGTCATTAAACGAACGTGACAACAACCTGTAATTTAAATAGATTTTTATTTTTATTTCATGTACTGGACATACACAAAATAGTCCAAATTGGTGAAGTGAAATTAAAAAAATAACTTGTTTCAAAAAATTCTAAATAATAAATAACGGAAAGGTGGTGCGTGCATATGTATTCACCCCCTTTGCTATGAAGGCCTTAAATAAGATCTGGTGCAACCAATTACCTTCAGAAGTCACATAATTAGTTAAATAAAGTCCACCTGTATGCAATCTAAGTGTCAAATGATCTGTCACATGACCTCAGTATATATACACCTGTTCTGAAAGGCCCCAGCCTGCAACACCACTTAGCAAGGGCACCACCAAGCAAGCGGCACCATGAAGACCAAGGAGCTCTCCAAACAGGTCAGGGACAAAGTTGTGGAGAAGTACAGATCAGGGGTGGGTTATAAAAAAATATCAGAAACTTTGAACATCCCACGGAGCACAATTAAATCCATTATAAAAAAATTGAAAGAATATGGCACCACAACAAACCTGCCAAGAGAGGGCCGCCCACCAAAACTCACAGACCAGGCAAGGAGGGCATTAATCAGAGAGGCATCAAAGAGACCAAAGATAACCCTGAAGGAGCTGCAAAGCTCCACAGCGGAGATTGAGGTATCTGTCCATAGGACCACTTTAAGCCGTACACTCCACAGAGCTGGGCTTTACGGAAGAGTGGCCAGAAAAAAGCCATTGCTTGAAGAAAAAAATAAGCAAACACGTTTGGTGTTCGCCAAAAGGCATGTGGGAGACTCCCCAAACATATGGAAGAAGGTAATCTGGTCAGATCAGACTAAAATTTAGTTTTTTGGAAAACGCTATGTCTGGCGCAAACCCAACACCTCTCATACCCAGAGGACACCATACCCACAGTGAAGCATGGTGGTGGCATCAACATGTTGTGGGGATGTTTTTCATCGGCAGGGACTGGGAAACTGGTCAGAATTGAAGGAATGATGGATGGCGCTAAACACAGGGAAATTCTTGAGGGAAACCTGTTTCAGTCTTCCAGAGATTTGAGACTGGGACGGAGGTTCACCTTCCAGCAGGACAATGACCCTAAGCATAATGCTAAAGCAACACTTGAGTGGTTTAAGGGGAAATATTTAAATGTCTTGGAATGGCCTAGTCAAAGCCCAGACCTCAATCCAATTGAGAATCTGTGGTATGACTTAAAGATTGCTGAACACCAATAGAACCCATCCAACTTGAAGGAGCTAGAGCAGTTTTGCCTTGAAGAATGGGCAAAATTCCCAGTGGCTAGATGTGCCAAGCTTATAGAGACATACCCCAACAAACTTTAAGCTGTAATTGCTGCAAATGGTGGCTCTACAAAGTATTGACTTTGTGAGGGGGTGAATAGTTATGCACGCTAAAGTTTTCAGTTTTTTTGTGTTATTTCTTGTTTGTTTCACAAAAAAAATATTTAGCATCTTCAAAGTGGTAGGCATGTTGTGTAAATCAAATGATACAAAATTTTAATTCCAGGTTGTAAGGCAACAAAATAGGAAAAATGCCAAGGGGGGTGAATACTTTCACAAGCCACTGTAATTCATTTGAAATGTTTACAAAGTAGGCTAACTCAGCCACAATAGATTCCGCTCCCGAAAATGAACAACCAACTGTAAACTATAAAAAAAATCTAGAGCAGGGCGTTTAGGTTAGGTCCTTTTCTTAAACAGTCTCAACCTAATGTTGAATATGCAAGCAGATTTGACAAAAACAATCATGAATATGAGTGAAAGCCACGGTGAAAGCTATTGGAGATTATGGGGTTAGGTAGAGGCCTAGAAAGATGCTGGTTGCATGGAGTCCTAATCATGCAAATTAGTTGTTATTTCCGAAACACATACAGTGCATTCGGAAAGTATTCAGACCCCTTGACTTTTTCCACATTTTGTTACGTTACAGCCTTATTCTAAAATTGATTAAATTGTTTCCCCCCCCCCACAATACCCCATAATGACAAAGCGAAAACAGGTTTTTCGAAATGTTTGCAAATGTATATACAAAAAAATACAAAAAATACTACCTTATTTACATTAGTATTCAGACCCTTTGCTATGAGACTCGAAATTGAGCTCAGGTGCATCCTGTTTCCATTGATCATCCTTGAGATGTTTCTACAAGTTGATTGGAGTCCACCTGTGGTAAATTGATTGGACATGATTTGGAAAGGCACACACCTGTCTATATAAAAGTTCCACAGTTGACAGTGCATGTCAGAGCAAAACCCAAGCCATGATTTTGAAGGAATTGTCCGTAGAGCCCCGAGAGAGGATTGTGTCGAGGCACAGATCTGGGGAAGGGTACCAAAACGTTCTGCAGCATTGAAGGTCCCCAAGAACACAGTGGCCTCCATAATTCTTAAATGGAAGAAGTTTGGAACCACCAAGAATCTTCCTAGAGCTGGCCACCCGGCCAAACTGAGCAATCGGGGGAGAAGGGCCTTGGTGGGGGAGGTGACCAAGAACACGATGGTCAATCTGACAGAGCTCCAGAGTTCCTCTGTGGAGATGGGAGAACATTTCAAAAGGACAACCATCTCTGCAGCACTCCACCAATCAGGCCTTTATGGTAGAGTGGGCACACGGAAGCCACTCCTCAGTAAAAGGCGCATGACAGCAGCTTGGAGTTTGCCAAAAGGCACCTAAAGGACTCTCAGACCATGAGAAACAAGATTCTCTGGTCCTGATGAAACCAAGATTGAACTCTTTGGCCTGAATGCCAAGCGTCACGTCTGGAGGAAACCTGGCACCATCCCTACGGTAAAGCATGGTGGTGGCAGCATCATGTTGTGGGGATGTTTTTCAGCGGCAGGTACTGGGAGACTAGTCAGGATCGAGGGAAAGTTGAACGGAGCAAAGTACAGAGAGATCCTTGATGAAAACCTGCTCCAGAGCGCTCAGGACCTCAGACTGGGGCGAAGGTTCACCTTCCAACAGGACAACAACCCTAAGCACACAGCCAAGACAACGCAAGAGTGGCTTCAGGACAAGTCTCTGAATGTCCTTGAGTGACCCAGCCAGAGCCCGGAAATGAACCCTAATCGAACATCTCTGGAGAGATGCTCCCCATCCAACCTGGCAGGGCTTGAGAGGATCTGCAGAGAAGAATGGGAGAAACTCCCCAAATACCGGTGTGCCAAGCTTGTAGCGTCATACCCAAGTAGACTTGAGGCTGTAATCGCTGCCAAAGATGCTTCAACAAAGTCCTGAGTAAAGGGTCTGAATACTTTTGTAAATGTGATATGTCCGTTTTTATTTTTAATAAATGTGCAAACATTTCTAAAAGCCTGTCTTTGCTTTGTCATTATGGGGTATTGTGTGTAGATTGATGAGGGAAAAAAACACAATTTAATCAATTTTAGAATAAGGCTGTAACGTAACAAAATGTGGAAAAAGTCAAGGGGTCTGAATATTTTCAGAATGCACTGTAAATAGACCAGATATAGTTGACATTAAATTGAATACTTAAATTGCCACTAAAACTGTCTGGATTCCATTGATTTTCCAGATCTTATTAAACAATGGTTTATGTTCTATAATTCAGCCAATATTTGATGGAATTTAACATAAAAAACTATCTTATTCCATTATGCAGCTCTTACTGTACACATACATGTACATACATCAGAACTGTATAATAAATAAAAATTTGACGACTGTTGCTAGTGACATACGTACCACAGTACGGCCAACTGTTTGTCTTCCTGTCTGGCCCCAGGGCCAGAGTGGTTCTTCAACCTCATGGCATACCTGACAACCACAGAGGATCACTGTTAAAGTGTGTGTGTGTGTGTGTGTGTGTGTTTGTTTGTGTGTGTGTGTACATGTGTGTTTGTGTGTGTGCACGTGGGTGTTTGTGTGTGTGTGTGAGTGTGGCTGTGTGTGTATCTCACCTGATGAGCTCTACTGTCTCTGTGTACATGGTATAGGGAGACTTGGCCTCCAGCGGCCCCTCCTCCATAGCTTTGCCACACTCCATGAAGGAGAGAGCAGCATCTACATAGTTCACTGCCTTCCCCAGCTTATCCACCTGAGAGAGAGAGAGAGAGAGAGAGAGAGAGAGAGAGAGAGAGAGAGAGAGAGATAGAGATAAGCGAGATAGAGAAGACGAGAGAGAGAGAGAGAGATAAGAGAAGAGAGAGAGGATAGCAGGAGCAGAAGAAAGACAGATATTAGAAAAGCTGTGATATGTGGATAAAAAGGTTGGTCGAGATGAGACCTCTCTAGCCACTTAATCAAGTAATTTCATGACAGGGTCCTTATCTTAAACCATCTGTAAAGTTGTACTAATTGTCCTAGACATCTTTTAAAAAGTCTTAACTGTCCTATTTCAGTGTTAGAACAGTCCCTCTGGTCCTGACCAAGTCCTAACCCAGTCCTAACCCAGTCCTAACCCAGTCCTAACCCAGTCCTGACCCAGTCCTAACCTAGTCCTGACCCAGTCCTAACCCAGTCCTAACCCAGTCCTGACCCAGTCCTAACCCAGTCCTGACCCAGTCCTGAGCCAGTCTCACCATGGCATCTGCACGGTGCTTCATCCTCTTCGCCTCATGCATGTAGTACTCAGCATGGTGTGGGCTAGAGAGAGAGAGAGAGAGAGAGAGAGAGAGAGAGAGAGAGAGAGAGAGAGAGAGAGAGAGAGAGAGAGAGAGAGAGAGAGAGAGAGAGAGAGAGAGAGAGAGAGAGAGAGAGAGAGAGAGAGAGAGAGAGACGGAGTAAATAGTAAAGATCAGACACATTATTACTGTGTGGTAGCTACTGACTGCTTCTGGTGGTATAGGTTTGGCTGTAGAATGTGGTCATGAGGACTGAAAGGGGTCTAATTTCAGTAATTCAGTCACTCACGGTTCATGGTTGAGTACAGTTCCTCTCTGGCTCCCTGCCCGTCGCAAAGGAGGTCCCCAGGATTCACACTTGGGCGGGGGCTGCCCTGACACACCTACACACTCCACCTCCATCTTAGCATGAGTCCTGGGCATCTCGCTGTTTATGTAGTGCTGCTCTGGGGGCTGTGTTATGATGGGGGGCTTGGTGGGGTCCGGGGTGTCAGAGAGAGGGGACAGGGGGGACAGTGGCCTCTTACTGTCCAGGTAGTCCTCCAAGAACCTGCTCACACATACACCCCCCCCCCCCCCCCCCAAGGACACAGTCAGTACTTTTTACAGTGTGTATGTGTGTATGAGTGTTTTGTGTGTGAGAGTGTGTATAAGTGTGTATGCGAGTGTGTATAAGTGTGTATGCTAGTGTGTATAAGTGTGTAGGAGGGTGTGTATAAGTGTGTATGAGAGTGTTTATAAGTGTGTATGAGAGTGTGTATAAGTGTGTATGAGAGTGTGTCTAAGTGTGTTTGAGAGTGTGTATAAGTGTGTATGAGAGTGTTTATAAGTGTGTATGAGAGTGTTTATAAATGTGTATGAGAGTGTTTATAAATGTGTATGAGAGTGTGTATAAGTGTGTATGAGAGTGTGTATAAATGTGTATGATTGTGTGTTCCAGTCTCACCCGTTGTGTCTGGCATCTGAGTGGGGGTCTAGACGTCTGTTAGCTGTAGACTCTGTGTGGGCTGAGGGGCCGTTGGTGTGGGAGTTCCTCCTCTTACTCTCTCTGTGGTGCTGGACTCCATTCTCTGACTGGGAGGAAACACACACATTATGGCTGAACCACGGATACCAGGCTATTATAGTTCAAAAGCAACAGTGATGGACACCAGGCTAATATAGTTCTAAAGCAACAGTGATGGACACCAGGCTATTATAGTTCTAAAGCAACAGTGATGGACACCAGGCTATTGTAGTTCTAAAACAACAGTGATGGACACCAGGCTATTATAGTTCTAAAGCAACAGTGATGGACACCAGGCTATTATAAACTCAGCAAAACAAACGTCCTCTCACTGTCAACTGCGTTTATTTTCAGCAAACTTAACATGTGTAAATATTTGTATGAACATAACAAGATTCAACAACTGAGACATAAACTGAACAAGTTCCACAGGCATGTGACTAACAGAAATTGAATAATGTGTCCCTGAACAAAGGGGGAATCAAAATTAAAAGTAACAGTCAGTATCTGGGGTGGCCACCAGCTGCATTAAGTACTGGAGTGCATCTCCTCCTCATGGACTGCACCAGATTTGCCAGTTCTTGCTGTGAGATGTTACCCCACTCTTCCACCAAGGCACCTGCAAGTCCCCGGACATTTCTGGGGGGAATGACCCTAGCCCTCACCCTCCGATCCAACAGGTTCCAGACGTGCTCAATGGGATTGAGATCCGGGCTCTTCTCTGGCCATGGCAGAACACTGACATTCCTGTCTTGCAGGAAATCACACACAGAACAAGCAGTATGGCTGGTGGCATTGTCATGCTGGAGGGTCATGTCAGGATTAGCCTGCAGGAAGGGTACCACATGAGGGAGGAGGATGTCTTCCCTGTAACGCACAGCGTTGAGATTGCCTGCAATGACAACAAGCTCAGTCCGATGATGCTGTGACACACCGCTCCAGACCATGACGGACCCTCCACCTCCAAATCGATCCCGCTCCAGAGTACAGGCCTCGGTGTAACGCTCATTCCTTCGACGATAAACGCGAATCCGACCATCACCCCTGGTGAGACAAAACCGTGACTCGTCAGTGAAGAGCACTTTTTGCCAGTCCTGTCTGGTCCAGCGACGGTGGGTTTGTGCCCATAGGCGACGTTGTTGCCGGGGATGTCTAGTGAGGACCTGCCTTACAACAGGCCTACAAGCCTGTTGTGGACAGTCTGAGCAATGATGGAGGGATTGTGTGTTCCTGGTGTAACTCGGGCAGTTGTTGTTTCCATCCTGTACCTGTCCCGCAGGTGTGATGTTTGGATGTACCGATCCTGTGCAGGTGTTGTTACACATGGTCTGCCACTGTGAGGACGATCAGCTGTCCGTCCTGTCACCCTGTAGCGCTGTCTTAAGCATCTCACAGTACGGACATTGCAATGTATTGCCCTGGCCACATCTGCAGTCCTCAGGCACATTCACACAGATGAGCAGGGACCCTGGGCATCTTTCTTTTGGTGTTTTTCAGAGTCAGTAGAAAAGCCTCTTTAGTGTTTAAGTTTTCATAACTGTGACCTTAATTGCCTACCGTCTGTAAACTGTTAGTGTCCTAACGACTGTTCCTCAGGTGCATGTTCATTAATTGTTTATGGTTAATTGGGAAACAGTGTTTAAACCCTTTACAATGAAGATCTGTGAAGTTATTTGGATTTTTACGATTTATCTTTGAAAGACAGGGTCCTGAAAAAGGGACATTTCTTTTTTTGCTGAGTTTCGCTTGCTTACACTCAAGGTATGAAGAGAAAAAGAGAAGGAATGTGTGTTACCTTGCGTTTCCTCCTGCTGTCTCCTCCCTCTGTCTCGGGGGTGTATAGGTGTCTCATGGCCTCTTTTTGCTTGGAAGAGGAAGAGGAGGAGGAAGAGGAGGGATGTTTGTGAAAGGCTGGGGTGTCTGTCGTAGTGTCAGGCACTCTGTTGAGCAGGGAGAGGTCTAACTGCACCACCAGATTCCTCAGGCCTCGATGGGAGGCTGGGGCCTGTTCACTACGCCCAAACGGGACCAGGGTGTAGAGTTTCTGCTTTCCCTGGCTCTGCGGCCCCTGGCCTTGGTTGGATGTGGCAGTGCCCCTGGGGTAGAGCACTCCAGGCCTGCTGTCTGCAGGCCTCCCCGGGCCCTGGTGCCCTCTCCTGGGGATAGGACGCTGGCTGGACGTGGAGTCGGCTGGGACTTTGGCGACGTTGGGAGGCAGACTGGGCTCAGAGTCGGACTCTGATGATGAAGAGGAGGAAGACGAGGAATCTGTGGGAGGGATGACAGGAGTGGGGGAGGAGGGCGATGGCGGAAGGGAAGGGTCCGGCTGAGACTCTCTATCTTCCTCCTCACTCTTCCTCCTCCTCTTTTTCTTGGTCCCGTGGCGTTGTGGATCGATGGGATTGCGGTGTCGCTCGCTGTTGGTGTGAGGTCTTTGCTTGGGCTGGACCGCCTGCCATTCACCTCTCTGCTGCTGCGGTTGTTTCTTCCTCCTCCTCCTCTTCTCCTCCCTCTCTCTCTCCTCCCTCCTCCTCTTTCTCTCCTCTACGTCCTCTTCCTCCTCTTCCTCTGAGCTCTGGATCCAGGGGCGTCTTAGCAACTTCTCCTCCGCCAGTCTTCGCTCTCCCTTTCTTTCCCCCTTTCTTTCCTTCTGTTTCTCCCCCTGCCTCTTTCCCTCTTTCTCCCCCTGCCTCACTCCCTGTTTTCCCTGTTTCTCCCCCTGCCTCACTCCCTGTTTTCCCTGTTTCTCCCCCTGCCTCTCTCCCTGTTTCTCCCCCTGCCTCGCTCCCTGTTTCTCCCCCTGCCTCTCTCCCTGTTTCTCCTCCTCTCCTCCTGCTCTCTCCCTGCCTCCTCCTGTTTCTCCCTTCTCCTCCCCTGCTCTCTCCTTCCTTTTTCTCCCCCTGCCTCTGCTCCCTGTTTTTCTCCCCCTGCCTCTCTCCCTGTTTCTCCCCCTGCCTCTCTCCCTGTTTCTCCCCCTGCCTCTCTCCCTGTTTTTCCCCCTGCCTCTCTCCCTGTTTCTCTGCCTGTCTCTCTACATTACTCCCCCCCCTTCCCTCTGTCTGCCTGTCTGCCTTCCTCTCTCTCTGGTTGTCCACCTCCCGCTCTCTCTCCCTGGATTGGGGCTTCCTCTGCGGAGGCTTTGTGTGGGGAGAAGGGGCCTCCCGGGACTTGACTTTGGGTCTAGGACTGGGGCTTGATCTAGAGCTAGGCCCAGAACCAGCTTTGGAGATAGGCCGAGAATGTGGCTTGGTGCTCGATTTGGAACTGTCACCAATTCTGCTGCTGGTCTCTCTGCTTGGGTCTGTGGCAGGTAAGGTCTTGGCCCCTGGTGTGGGACTGGGACTGGTACTGAGGCTGGTTGTCAAACCAGGCCCAAACTTGGGCCTGTGGTTGGAGTTGGAATTGTGGCTGAGTCTGCTACTCTCCTTGGGCCTTTGTCCAGAGGTTGATGGGTGTTGGCTGGTTTTGAGGGCAAGGATGGGGTTGTGTTTCAAATTAGACCGAGAATGAAGCCTGGGACTGGAGTTGGGACTAGGCCTGGGTCTGGGTCTGTGGCTCAGCTCAGTGCTCAGAGCAGGTGCTGCCTTGGCTGTGTTCTTGGGAGTGGGAACAGACTGGCTCTGTGTGGGTTTAGGCCTGGAGCTGTGCTGAAGCGGAGGCTGGGGAGAGGAACTGTGCCTCAGTTTGCTCTTGGGCTCAATGCTGGGAGCAGGTGCGATCCTGATTTTGGGTCTATGGCTCGGGCTGATTGTTAGGCTAGGCCGCTTGAGAGGCCTGATGCTTTCCTGATGAAGACTCCGAACCTGAGGATAGTGACGGGAGCTAGACTGAGTAAGGCTAGGACTAGGACTCCTAGGGGGGTGCCGGGGTATGGGGCTAGGGCTGCGGCTGGCTCTGGGGCTGAGGCAGGGGCTCGGACAGACACTGGGGACCGGGCTAGGGATGGGGCTGTGTCTTGGGCTGGGGCTAGGGCAAGGACTGGGACAGGGGCTACAGCCAGGGCTAGGCCGAGGGCTATGCCTGGGGCTGTAGTTGAAGTGTGGGCTGGGAACAGGGCTCTGGCTGGGACTGTAGTCCTCTCTGGTCCCCCAGAATCTGGCCGGAGACGGGGCTCCGTGGGGGTCTGGGGAGGGCGAGCTGTGCTCTGTAGCTCTCTGGGCGTGGTCGCGGTTGCTGGAATCCTGGTCCCAGGAGAAGGATTTTTTTCTGACTTTCTTCAGCCACTTATCCAGCTGCCACTGAGTGGTGGAGGGGTGATCTGTCTGAGAAAACAGAGAGAGGAGGATGAGAGGATGGAGAGGGATGACAGATTTAAGGAGAGAGGGATGACAGATTTAAGGAGAGAGGGATGAATGGAGAAACAGTCCGGTAGGAACAGCAAAGGAGAGAGATCATGCTTTTTGTGATGAACAAGTCAGTTTGACTTGCAGAAAGTGATTGAACTATATTCAATCAAAACAGTGGTTAAGCCAAAAACAACAATCTTCCTGAGCAGTGAGAAATACTATTTATAAATATGCAGATTAGCTTTTTCCCACAAAAATATTGATATGTTGAATGGCCAGTGCAAGATTATTATTTTATTTTTATTAAAGAAAACGATATGTTTAATAAAGCTGTGTAAGGAGGGAAAAGATGAGGAAAGAAGGAAGAGGAGGGTCTGTCATATGCTCACTCTTTTCTGTGAAGAGAGAGATCGGAGAGAGAGAGAGAGAAGAGAGAGAGAGTAGAGGAGAGAGATAGAGAGAGATAGAGAGAGAGCTAGAGCTAGAGACTCGCTACGCTCCTCTCTCTCTCGCGACTCTCTTCTTCTTTCTCTTTCGGTGATCTCTTCTGTCTTGTTTCCGCCGGGTAGAATCGATCGACGTGGCTTTGACCAGTGACAGGAGTAAACAATACATTCCTTGAAAAATTATGACACACATTGGAATATTTCAAAACACACAACACACACTCAAAACCATACAAACAGTACCCACACACATTACTCACTCACAGTTCCAGCTTCATTCTTATCACCACGGTCAAAACTGAAATGTTCTAAACTGTTCTAATCTACACTGCACACGTACATTAAAACAACACACTGTCAAAACTACCACTCGTTCAACCATAGTCCACTTTAATTTGGCCACTTCTTCAACCCTCCTTCCTTTTCTACTACCACTGGAATCTACACACATCTGCCCTGACAGAGGATACCCCCCCCCCCCCCACACACACACACACACACACACACACACACTGGCTGTTTATTCTGCCTAACAACTCACTCATTAATCCAAATTGAACAGACTAGCTGTGTATTCTGCCTAACAACTCTCTTATTAATCCAGAAAGAACAGAAGAGAGTTTTAAAAAGAAGAGGATATACTCACTGGTGGAGTGCACAATTACTTTCCTGCTCTCTCTCTCTTTTCTCTCTTTTTTCCTGTCCCCCTCTCTCTCTCCCTCTCTCTCTCCCTCTCTCTCTCCCACTCTCTCTCCCTCTCTCTCTCCCTCTCTCCAGTAGCGAATTTAAACTAGTCCTCTACTCAAACACTGCCTCCTCCCAGGTCACGCCCCCCTCCCAGGTCACGCCCCCCCCCCCCAGGTCACGCCCCCCTTCCCTCTTTCCCTCACCCTCTTTTCCAGAGAAGACACTGCATCTCTTGTACCCTCTCTGCCCCCTCCCAACCTCCCTCCCTCTAACTGGAACCCCCCCTCTCCTCGGGAGACACTATAACGCTCAACGTAGATTAAAAACACATGGGGCTCCCACCCCCGCACCACCACTCTCACTCCCACCACCTCTATAGGGGCCTGATATCCGGCATGAATAGAGCCAGCTATGGTCATACAGACACACAGGGCCTTCCATTCATACAGGCAGGAGAAGCAGGTTTCCCCTACTCAACTCTCTCTGCATAGCTAACCTACACCCCTAACTGCTGTCCCCCTCCATCGACAATAACCCCCACCGCCTCCTCAAATACGGACCTATTTTACACCGCTGCTTATGGACAGACCTCTCGCTCTCTCTCTCTCTCTCTGTTCTGTCTATAGGCAGCAGTGTAATAGATCTTTATAGGTCTCTCTCTCTACTGGGTATTTACATGCTTGTAATAAAATAAAATAAATTATTATTATTACATGCTTGTAACTCACTGCCAATGAAACTGCCATTTTAAAGTTAGTCTTACCTTTACTTTAGTGTAAGCTAGTGTAGCAGTCTGTTGGGTATTAGTGTGGGAGAGACTATCATGCTAACTACTAACGCAATGTTAGCGTGAAACCGAATCTCCGGGACTCCCACCTCCCGTGGACTTTCCTATTTGGGACTGGGCTTGTTGACATGACACCCAGACTCTAATTCCTACAGCAACTCCCCTCACCCTGCCTCACCCTGCCCTTCTCCCCCTGCATACCCCTCCCCCTGCTTCCTCACCCTGACTCACCCCCTCTCCCTCACCCCCTCCCCCAGAGAGAGAGAGAGAATTTGAAATGAGGGGAGGCAGAGAGTAAAAGGGTGGAAGAGGCTAAAGGGAGAGAGAGAAATATCCATAAAGAGAGAAAATGAGAAATGCCATGAGAGAGAAAGGTAGCTAAATAGAGAGAGATATGGTATACATACAGAAAGACAGCAGTGTGACAGACAGACAGACAGCAGTGTGACAGACAGACAGACAGACAGCAGTGTTACAGACAGACAGACAGACAGACAGACAGCAGTGTGACAGACAGACAGCAGTGTGACAGACAGACAGACAAACAGCAGTGTGACAGACAGACAGACAGACAGCAGTGTGACAGACAGACAGACAGACCGCAGTGTGACAGACAGACAGACAGACAGACAGACAGACAGACAGACAGCAGTGTGACAGACAGACAGCAGTGTGACAGACAGACAGACAGCAGTGTGACAGACAGACAGACAGACAGACAGCAGTGTGACAGACAGACAGACAGACAGACAGACAAACAGCAGTGTGACAGACAGACAGACAGCAGTGTGACAGACAGACAGACAGACAGACAGCAGTGTGACAGACAGACAGACAGACAAACAGCAGTGTGACAGACAGCAGTGAGACAGACAGACAGACAGCAGTGTGACAGACAGACAGACAGACAGACAGCAGTGTGACAGACAGACAGCAGTTTGACAGACAGACAGACAGACAAACAGCAGTGTGACAGACAGACAGACAGACAGCAGTGTGACAGACAGACAGACAGACCGCAGTGTGACAGACAGACAGACAGCCGTGTGACAGACAGACAGACAGACAAACAGCAGTGTGACAGACAGACAGACAGCAGTGAGACAGACAGACAGACAGCAGTGTGACAGACAGACAGACAGACAGACAGACAGCAGTGTGACAGACAGACAGCAGTGTGACAGACAGACAGACAGACAGACAGACAGACAGCAGTGTGACAGACAGTGATTGTGGTGGTACTACCTCCTCAGTGCAGCTGAGAGACTGAGTGTCGGTGGGTGTCCCAGGATCGGAGTGTGTTTCTGGGCTGGGGCTACGGGAGCGATGGCTACTGCTCTCCTCCTCCGACTCACTGGAGGAGTCTGAGCCTGAAGAGTTGGAGCCTGAAGAGTCGGAGCTGGAACGTCTCACCCTCCCACCATGTGTGTGTGTGTGCTGCTCCGACAGACTGTCAATCAACAAACACAAACACCAAAAAGGGGTCAGCTTACACACAGATGCACGAGTACGCACAAACACGCACAGTTGCACGAACACACACACAAACAATTAGTGCGCACTCAAACTCGTTGGCCCTCTTCATTAGTCACTATCAGTGTGTGTCTGTGTCTGTTTAAGAGTGACCAGGAGAGAGAAACATGGGTTGGTCTACCATCCAACTGTCATATTCCACACATCCAGACCTTTCATATCGCTTCCACACACACACGCACGCACGCACACACACACACACACACACACACACACACACACACACACACACACACACACACACACAAATCAAATCATCAAAATGAAATCACGTTTTATTTGTCACATGCGCCGAATAGAAGATAACTGAGGTAGAGGTAGTCAAGGTAACTGAGGTAGAGGTAGTCAAGGTAACTGAGGTAGAGGTAGTCAAGGTAACTGAGGTAGAGGTAGTCAAGATAACTGAGGTAGAGGTAGTCAAGATAACTGAGGTAGAGGTAGTCAAGGTAACTGAGGTAGAGGTAGTCAAGGTAACTGAGGTAGAGGTAGTCAAGGTAACTGAGGTAGAGGTAGTCAAGGTAACTGAGGTAGAGGTAGTCAAGGTAACTGAGGTAGAGGTAGTCAAGGTAACTGAGGTAGAGGTAGTCAAGATAATTGAGGTAGAGGTAGTCAAGGTAACTGAGGTAGTATGTACATGTACTGTGGGTAGGGGTAAATGTGACTAGGCAATCAGGATAGATACACGCACACACAGACACACACACACACACACACGCAATGCAGTAGACACATCTAGTACCTGTTGTTACCAGTCCAGGAGGCTGACTGCTCATGGCCCTAGTAGAGAGATGACAGAAAAGGAGTCAAGAGAGACTGGTGTCATTCATTAGCAAATCACATCAAATCAAATCTTATTTTATTTGCCACATGCGCCGAATACAACAGGTGTAGAACTTACAGTGAAAAGCTTACTTACAAGCCCTTAACCAACAATGCAGTTTTTTAAGAAAAAAAATGAAAGAAAAAAAGTGTTAAGTAAAAAATAGATAAGTAAAAAATAGCAAATAATTAAAGAACAGCAGTAAAATAAAATAACAGTAGGGAGGCTATATACAGGGGGGGTACCGGTACAGAGTCAATGTGCGGGGGCACAGGTTAGTCGAGGTAATTGAGGTAATATGTACATGTGGATAGAGTTAAAGTGACTATGCATAAATAATAAACAGAGTAGCAGCAGCGTAAAAGAGAGGGTTGGGGTGGGGTGGGGTGGAGTGGTTGGGGGATAAATGTAAATAGTCTGGGTAGCCATGATTAGCTGTTCAGGAGTCTTATGGCTTGGGGATAGAAGCTGTTAAGAAGCCTTTTGGACCTAGACTTGGCGCTCCGGTACCGTTTGCCGTGCGGTAGCAGAGAGAACAGTCTATGACTAGGGTGGCTGGAGTCTTTGACAATTTTTAGGGCCTTCCTCTGACAACGCCTGGTATAGAGGTGATGCAACCAGTCCGGATGCTCTCGATGGTGCGGCTGTAGAACTTTTTGAGGATCTGAGGACCCATGCCAAATCTTTTCAGTCTCCTGAGGGGGAATAGGCTTTTTCATGCCCTCTTCACGACTTGGTGTGTTTGGACCATGATAGTTTGTTGGTGATGTGGACACCAACGAACTTGAAGCTCTCAACCTGTTCCACTACAGCCCCGTCAATGAGAATGGGGGCGTGCTCGGTCCTCTTCTTTTTCCTGTAGTCCACAATCATCTCCTTTGTCTTGATCACATTGAGGGAGAGGTTATTATCCTGGCACCACACTGCCAGGTCTCTGACCTCCTCCCTATAGGCTGTCTCATCGTTGTCGGTGATCAGGCCTTCCACTTTTGTGTCGTCGGCAAACTTAATGATGGTGTTGGAGTCGTGCCTGGCCATGCAGTCATGGGTGAACAGGGAGTACAGGAGGGGACTGAGCACGGACCCCTGAGGGGCCCCCATGTTGAGGATCAGCGTGGCAGATGTGTTGTTACCTACCCTTACCACCTGGGGGCGGCCCGTCAGGAAGTCCAGGATCCAGTTGCAGAGGGAGGTGTTTAGTCCCAGGGTCCTTAGCTTAGTGATGAGCTTTGAGGGCACTATGGTATTGAACGCTGAGCTGTAGTCAATGAATAGCATTCTCACGTATGTGTTCCTCTTGTCCAGGTGGGAAAGGGCAGTGTGGAGTGCAATAGAGATAAGAGATTGCATCATCTGTGGATCTGTTGGGGCGGTATGCAAATTGGAGTGGGTCTAGGGTTTCTGGGATAATGGTGTTGATGTGAGCCATGACCAGCCTTTCAAAGCACTTCATGGCTACAGACGTGAGTGCTACGGGTCGGTAGTCATTTAGGCAGGTTATCTTAGTGTTCTTGGGCACAGGGACTATGGTGGTCTGCTTGAAACATGTTGGTATTACAGACTCAGTCAGGGACATGTTGAAAAGGTCAGTGCATGCTCGGAGTACACGTCCTGGTAATCCGTCTGGCCCTGCGGTGAATGTTGACCTGCTTAAAAGTCTTACTCACATCGGCTACGGAGAGCATGATCACATAGTCATCCGGAGCAGCTGATGCTCTCATGCATGCTTCAGTGTTGCTTGCCTCGACGTGAGCATTGAAGTGATTTAGCTCGTCTGGTAGGCTTGTGTCACTGGGCAGCTCGCGGCTGTGCTTCCCTTTGTAGTCTGTAATAGTTTGCAAGCCCTCCCACATCCGACGAGCGTCAGAGCCGGTGTAGTACGATTCAATCTTAGTCCTGTATTGACTCTTTGCCTGTTTGATGGTTCGTCGGAGGGCATAGCGGGATTTCTTATAAGCGTCCGGGTTAGAGTCCCGCTTCTTGAAAGCGGCAGCCCTATCCTTTAGCTCAGTGCGGATGTTTCCTGTAATCCATGGCTTCTGGTTGGGGAATGTACGTATGGTCACTGTGGGGACGATGTCATCGATGCACTTATTGATGAAGCCAGTGACTGATGTAGTGTACTCCTCAATGCTATCGGAAGAATGTAGCCTATCTCTGTTAACCATGAGCAAGTAGTGTAAACCCTGTGCTGCCCATATTGAACTGCCATTGGATAGGTGAAAACAATATGGTAAAAGCATGCCAGACCATTTGCTTCAAGTTCTATTAGATGAATCCAGATAGAGAAATGGAGACAAGGAGAGGTCACTTTAGACGTGTGTGTGTTTGTGTGTGTGTGTATGTGTGTGTGTGTGTGTGTTTGTGTGATGCAGCTCCACTCTAACATACAGAAAGCACAAAGAGCTCCTTCAGAGAGCAACTGTTGCCAACTCTCCAGTCTCTCTCTCTCTCTCTCTCCCCTCTCTGTCTCTCTCTCTCCCTCTCTCTCCCCTCTCTGTCTCGCTCTCCCTCTCTCTCTCCCCTCTTTGTCTCTCTCTCGCTCCCTCTCCCCCCTCTCTGGCTCTCTCTCTCTCCCCTCCCTGTCTCTCTCTCCCCCCTCTCTCTCTCTCTCTCTCTCTCTCTCTCTCTCTCTCCCCCCTCTCTGTCTCTCTCTCCCTCTCTCTCTCTCCTCTCCTTCTTATGTTGTTCATACAACTTTAAATAAGGGATGTAGCCAAGTTACTCAGTTACAAAGTTATTTGTTACTAGTTACGAAAACATTTTTGGGGCTTCTTTCTTTTAATGTGCAGTAGCCAAATGGGGAGGAGGGTTGGAGGGAGCAGAGAGGAATGGGGAAAGGAGGGAGGAGAGAGGAATGGGGAAAGGAAAGAGGGAGGAAAGAGGAAGGGCGGAGAGAGATAGTCTGAAATGTTGCAAAAATGTTCTGAAAGGTTTGTAGAATGTTCCGGGGCATCCCTACCTTGTCAGCATCCTCCTCGTCACTGCTGAGCTTCAAGTCATCAGCGAGCATGCTGGGAAATTTGTTGAAAACCATACGTAAAGAGAAAGACTAAAGTAAATGAAAGGATGAAGTATACAGAGGCTGTATCCAGTCTAGTTGTGAGGGGGTAATGAGGTATGATATGCCATCTCTGACTGACAGAGGATATAAAGGGTTAATAAGCTAGGAGACTCTGTGTTCTGCATCTGAAGAAGTTCACACAAATGTCAGGTCACCTTTGGACTAGTGTCCTGGTGTTTTTATGTCATGTTGGCTGCACAACTAAAACGATCAGATTAGTACTACTCCCTCTGTGTGTGTGTGTGTGTGGGGTTTGCATGTGTTTTGGTGGTGGGGTGTTTGTTGTGTTTTTGGGGGGTGTG